TATGGTGTGGGATGGTTATCTTCTTTATGGAGGAGAGGGAGTGGGGATAGGGGCCCCCCGGGTACTGGGGGAGAAGGTGGTGGGGGCCCCGCGGGGCCCCCCTCAAGAAGGGAAAGAGGGCAGCGATTCATGGCGGGTACTGAATGGGACTTAGAGATGCAGCTGCTGCATTTAGAGTCTTTACCTGCTTAAGGTAATTGCTGCTGCTGCTGCTGGAGCAGCAACAGCAGCAGCAGCAGGTGTACAGACACATGAAGGGGTCCCCCTGCTGCTTACATTAAGGGAAGATGGTAATAATAATATTCTTCCTCTTTTTTGTGTGGCAATGGGAGCTGCTGCATGCAACGAGTGCTGCTGCATGCAACGAGTGCTGCTGCATGCAACGTATGCTGCTGCATGCATGCATGCATGCATGCAATGAGGCTGCTGCATGCAATGGAAGCTACTGTATGCAGCAATAGCTGCTGCATGCAAGTAATGCTTCTGCATGTAATGGAAGCTGCTGCATGCACGTAGAGCTGCTGCATGCAAGTAAAGCTGCTGAATGCATCTACAGCTGCTGCATGCAGCTGCATGCAGATGCATGCAGCGACCGCCTGTCTTAAGGGCGCAAATGTTTCCTCAGCAGCTCTTAATCAAAGGTGTGGTGGCTAGCTAGCCGCAGTGGCTAGCTGTGACTAGCTGGACCTAGCCACAGCTAGACGCAGCACTGTTGTGTGTCTGGCTAGCCAGCACACCATGCTGCTGCAGCTAGCTAGACAGCGTGATGGAACAATAGAGGGGCACATGGGTGTCGCTACTGCAGCGAGAACCCTCAAACCCTAAACCCTAAACCCTAAACCGTCAGTAGGGGACAGTAAAGAGGAAGGGTTTAACTTCCTGCTGACCTAAAGGGGGTTAAATGACTCCTTTTCCTCTTCTTATAATGCTGTGTATATGTATTTATATATTGTATATACACATATACTATTTATTATATACTATATATCATGTACTATATTATATATATAATGTATAATGTATATAATATACTGTTTATACAGTAGATAGGCGGAGGTAGCAAAAGGGACAAAGTGCAACATAGCAGAGGGGAGAGTCGGAGGAAGGAACCGGGGCATATCCAGCAAAGACACAGGAGAAAAACGAGAGAAAAAGGGGAAGGAATAGAGGAGACAGAGGAGACAGAGAATGGGACACAAAGGATACAAATGATTAATTAATGGTTAGCTGAAGCTACGCCGTTTTTTGCTGCTTTTGCTGCTGTGAATAAAACTTGCATGCACCGCAACAAAGCCCTTTGTAGGGTTTATGCCTGCCTCCTGTTGCAGGCATAAACCCTACAAACAATAAATACGAATTGTTAGTTGATATTCATTTATTACTTAAATAAATATAAACAATTTATAAATAGACGTGTACACACAAACAAATACAAACAAACAGACACATACACATAAGATACTTCCTAACAGCGAGCGGGAGCCTAAGATGGAGAGGGAGTTACACTCCCCTAAAGAGTTATTTATTTAGATTAAGCAACTGCATGTTAATTGATATCTATTTTGCTATAAAAAAGGAATAAATTGAATAGTTTAATACAACTTTTATGCGTATAGGGAGCGGTAAAGGGCCAACGGGTCGGCAGCGGCGCTAGTCGTCGATGGCCGCATGCAGCCCCACAACGCGAGTAATATGTTGAATAAAGGAGTATTTTCTTAGTTATTCTTGCAAAAATATACAATATTAAACATATAATTTGGTTTGTTTAATTCATTTATTTATTTATTTCTTTTTCCTTGTTTCCCTGCCTTTCTCTCTGTTCTTTTTTACCCTCTTTCCGCTGCCGACTGCTGCGTAGCCTCCCCCCCCACTCGAGGCTGTAAGGGCTGGTGGTGGTCTTTGTGGGTATTTCTTGAATCTTTTTTGTGTATATTTTTGTTCCTTTTCTTTTTAATTAATATAATATAAATACAAAAGAGAAGGTGGGGCTTTTTACCGGCTAAAAATCCCCATTTATTGGGTTTATCCCTCCTTATTCCTTACTTATGCATAATATAAGGAGGCAAGGATGAGGACGTCTAAGAAATCCTCGTTGGGCTTTTTCTTCTTTTTATTTCTTTTTCTTTCTCTTTTTTCTTTATCTTTAGGGGTAAGAAAATAAAAATAGTTCTTTTCCCCCGTTTTCCCCGCTATTTCTTCTATCCTGCCTTCCATCTCCCATGTATATGCATGCAATATAAGAACAATTAAAGGTAAATATAATATTAATTCCCCTTTTTTTCTTTTTTTCCTTCTTTTTCTTCTTTGTTTTGCTGCAGCTAAACCTTAATGACCCTAATAATACAGATAAAGAAGAACCCCTTATAGGGGCCCCTTCTTCTCCGTGGAAGAATCGTCTAGCTACAATAGTAGCACATACTGTTCCTGCTGCTGCTGCTCCTGCTGCTGCTGCTGCTGATGCTGCTGCTGATGCTGCTGCATCTGCTGCGCCTCCTCTGCATGCAATGAGGACACGCAAGAGGAGCAGGTTGGTTTATTTTCCCTCAATAGCTGTCTGTACACTGTATATATTCCTAGTGTGTGCTGTATTAATAAACCCTAAACCCTAAACCCTAATTATTTTTTTCTTCGCGTTGCTGCAGAGGAGGAACATTAGGGGCCCCTGTAGCCTTTGCTTCTAGGGGTATACATAATAAAAAAGAAAATGATGAAGAAGAGAGAGAATTGGTGGGGTTGCAACAACAACACTTTCCTCTTGTCTCTTGTACTGCTGCTAAGGCTCTTGTCTGTATTGGAGGAATCGCAGCAGTCGGTAGGTATACGGGGGTTTAGGGTTTAGGGTTTAGGGTTTAGGGTTTAGGGTTTAGGGTTTAGTGTCTAGGGTTAAGGGTATATGGTACACTAAACTCTAAACACTAATGCCTGATGCGGGCGCCATGTTTTGCTAAACTGTTACAATTATTGTTGAGTCTAGGGTTTAGGGTTTAGGGTTTAGGGTTTAGGGTTTAGGGTTTACGTTGTGAGGGTTTTGCTTGTTACAGGGGCAGCAGTATCTAAGCTAACAAGCAATTACTTAAGAAGAAAAAGGAGAGAAAATATGCGACGTGAGGGGCCCCCCTCCCCCTTCAATCGTTTATTGGGCCCTGTATTGCTGGAGGGTCCTGGAGCAGCAGAAGCAGCAGCAACAGCAGGATCAGCAGCAGCAGCAGCAGCAGGAGCAGGAGCAGCAGGAGGGTCAACTTCATCTATTCTTTCTTTTTTTAGACCTAAAAATAAATTTAAAGAAATATTCACAAATAATGCATTAGGGGAAAAAGGAAGTCTTACTGCCCTCTATTTTACAGGGAAAGGAGTTGAACAAATCTTACAGGTAAACCCTAAACCCTAAACCCTAATTCACAAACCCTATACTTACCTTCTGGTTTATACACCCTATAACTGCGCCCTCATTTCATAACCCATAAACCCTAATTTGTAAACCCTAAACCCTAATTCTTTAGTCCAAACTAATAGACTTCATGGGTTTTGAGGGTTTCAAGGGTTTAGGGTTTAGGGTTTAGGGTTTAGGGTTTCGTGTTCAGGCTAAGGGCTACGTACCATTTACTCCTCGATTAGAGAGTATAGTTAGAGCAGCAAAACAAAACGGTAAAAAATTAAATGTTGTTTTTATTTCTGCGGATAATTCTCCTAATGATGCTGCAGATTTATTTAATACTATGCCATGGTAAACCCTAAACCCTAATTTATAAACCCTAATTCTTTAATATCCTTAAGAAAACCCTAAACCTAAACCCTCGTAAACCCTAATTTATATCCATTACTCATTTAACACTATATGTCATGATAAACCCTCGTAATAAACCCTAATTATTTCCTATTCTTAAGAAACCCTAAACCCCCGTAAACCCTAATTGGCATTATTAATGAATTAGGGTTTAGGGTTTAGGGTGTTATATGTACAGGTACGCGGTTCCTTTTGATGACGAGGAAGGTAGATCTATAACTCGTTCTTTATATAGGAAGTTTAGGGTTTCTTCTCTTCCTCATATAACTTTATTAGATGAACAAGGAAAGGTAGTAAACCCTCAGGCATACACAGCACTACTAACAGACCCTCTAGGGTTTCCATGGAAAAAAAAATCTATTCTCCAACTTATTGGTAATAAATTACAAGACAATAAAGGGCAACCTGTTGACCCTGTAAGAAACCCTAAACCCTAAACCCTAAACCCTAAACAATCAGAAATCCTCGGACATCACCCTGTACATTAATAAACCCTAGACCCTCAACTTGAATGTACCGTAAACCCTAAACCCTCAGCCGTTTTAGGGGTTTTAGCTTTTTCTAAATGTTATTTTGCACGAGTTTTGGGATTTAGGGTTTAGGGTTTAGGGTTTAGGGTTTGGTGTTTTTTTTTAGGCTGTATTAAAAGGGAAGACGATAGGTTTATATTTTAGTGCATCATGGTGTGGTCCTTGTCGTAACTTTACGCCTAAATTAATGAATAAAATAAGGAAAATAAAAGAAAAAGGAGAAGAAATAGAATTAGTATTTATATCTAATGATAGAGATGAAGAATCTTTTAAGCAATACTCATCATCCATGGATGCATTGGCTATTCCCTATTCAGAAACCGCTACCAGAGCTGTCTTACAAGTAAACCCTAAACCCTAAACCCTAAACCCTAGGAGGTCAAAAATCCACTTTTCTTGTTTCCTTCAATGTTTTCTTCCCTTATACAAGTTGTTCTCGCCCTCTCTCTCTATCATCCTCTCTCCTTTTTCCTTGTTCCTTGCATGCATTTATAAGTGCATGCATGCATGAATGTATGCATGCGCAGGACGCGTTAGGGGTTCGTTCCTTGCCTACATTAATATGGGTAAACCCTGAGGGGGAGATAATAACACGTCGTGGTGTATCCGCAATAATAAAAGAAGGGGATGAGAGTTTAGGGTTTCCTTGGCAAGAAAAACTAATTAAGGATATAGATGATGCATTAGATGTTATTGCTGAGGAACCTGTTCTTCTTACTTTCCTTAATAATGCAGATAATCAACAACAACAACAAACCCTCAAGGTAATATTATCATCATATAAACCCTAAACCCTAACCCCTAAACCCTAAAACAGTATATGTATCATCTTTACTGTTGGTGCATGCATGTATATTGTATATATTCTATATATTAAATATACACCTGATCAGGAAAACTCTATGGTGTTTCTGGTTGAGGGTTTCTTTTAGGGTTTAGGGTTTAGGGTTTAGGGTTGGTTTTGTTTGTTTAGGCACTGGAGGAGGCTGCGGTGGCCTTAAAGGGAAGAAAGGACGGGGAGAGTGTTGGGCCCCTTCCTCAGTTCCTGTTAGCTCGTAGTTCTTCTCCTCGTACTGCAGCACTTAGGCATATATGCAAAGAAGGGTTTTCTTCATCAGCAATTAAACCCAATAATGCAGTCCTTGTAAGTTAATTTATGCATGCGCCCTCCTTGTTTTATCTCCCTCCTCCCCACTGATAGCCACAAGTCTTTCTACGGGTTTAGGGTTTAGGGTTTAGGGTTTTGAATATCGGGTTTATAGATGCAAGTCATGTAGTTTTTCTGCCTCTCGACGGAGTGTTAAGGGTTTAGGGTTTAGGGTTTAGGGTTTGTGTGCAGTTAATTCTGGATATATTTACACAAAAAGTATATCCTTTCCCTCATGATACAAAAGAAGTAACAAAAGAAAATATTGTTGATTTTGTTAATAAGTACCAGAATGAAGAATTAAATGGTAAACCCCTTACCTTACCTGAATAATTATTTATTGGCTAGGGTTTATGGTTTCTTTTTGTGGTCTAGAGTTTAGGGTTTAGGGTTTATAGGGTTTATAGGGCTTAGGGTTTAGGGTTTACGGGGCCCCTACAAACCCCTAAAAGCCCATAAAGGGCCCTTAAGAGATCCCTTGTGAGTCCACCTGTGGGCATCTCTTAGGGGAGGTTTAAGCGGGGCCCCCTAGGGAGCCTTACGGAGCCGCCTAGGGGGGCCCCCAGGGGGGCCCCTATGAACCGAACCGACAGCAACCGAATCCTTTAAACTTTGTGGTCTTTTTCTTCTTTCTTATGTGTAAACGCATGCAAACTTGGGGCTTTGAAGACAGCCCCCGGCTTGCATGCGTTTACACACATAATGCATGCAGCGGCGCCTATCTCGCAGGCAACTGCAGCAGCGATAGTAGCAGCAGCAAGAACAGCAGTAGCAACAGCAGCAACAGCAGTAGAAGTAGCAGCAACAGCAGCAGCATCAACAGCAACAGCAGGAGCAGCGGGTGTGCAAGATGCAATACCCGTCGCTATTAGAAGAAGCAGATTTAGGGTTTAGGGTTTAGGGTTTAGGAAAACTGCTTTTAACTGTTATAGAAAAAGAAAAGAAACAAGGGGGCACCAGCACATTGGCAGGGGCCCCTCACATACATTTACTATAAGCATTAGGGGGTATTATTTACTCTATTATTGGGGTTTATTCTAATGGGGGCCCTTCTGAGGGGCCCCCCTTAAAGTCCCTGTTCCGGACGGGAAGCCCCCCCTGGAGCACTGGGGCACCCTTGGGGCCCCCTTGGGGCCCCTTAAGTCCCCTTCCTGTGGGGTTGGGGCCTCTACAAAGAGGTCACCTGTTAAATTCCATTGCCTCAGGGGCCCCCCTGGGTGCCCCTATTGTTGTTGTTGCTGCTGCCGCTGCTGTTTTGTCTTCCTTTTAGCCAATCCCTTGCCCCCAAGGCCTCAACAATTCTGTTAAGGACGGGGAGGCCCATAAAGCCCCCTAGGCGGGGTTGGATAGATTGGGAAGCCTGCTGCGGACCTCCACCCTTCACGCTGTTGCTGCTGCTGCTGCTGCTGCTGTTTGTGGTGGAAGTGGTGCTGCTGCTGCTGCAGCTGCTGCTGCTGCTGCAGCTGCTGCTGCTGCTGGTGCTACTGCTATGCTCGAGAGGGTGTTCAAGTGGGGCCTCGCCACTGTACTGCTGCTGCAGGGCCCCATCACCAGGGGCCCCTGCTGCTACAGTACCACCAGAAGGGGCCCCTTGGGACCCTCTGAACCGTCTTTCATTGGAGTTACGGGGGCCCCACCCTTCAGGAAGCCTTGAAGCCCTGTACGATCGCAGGGGGCTCCTCAGCTCTCGTGGGCCCCTTTCGCCTACGTAGCTCCTACGGTGCCCCCTGTGGTGACCCCTGCTGCTGCAAGGGCCCTCGTCCGAATCGCCTACGGGGTACCGTAAGGGGGAGGCCCCGGGGGCCCCCCGCGGGTCTCCTTCGTAAGTCATGCCGAAACTTTGCTGCTCTGATATTCTTCTGTTCTGCTGGGAAGCAGAAGCAGCAACGGCAGGGTCAGCAGCAGGAGCTGCAGACCCAGAGCCTGAAGGGCCCCCAGGGCCCCCTTGGGCCCCCTTTGAGGACTGCGCTCCCCCACGTCTCCTCCCCTGTACCCCTGACACAAAGTATCGATGCAGATGGGGGGTCCTTAAGGACTGCATGCGGCTGGTACGGGGGGCCCCCTCAATAGAAGTTTGGGGCCTCCAAGAGGGGCCCCCCACCGCAGCCTCCTGAGGTCCATTTTCTGACTGCTCCCTTTCCGTCGGTAGAGCGGTAGAGTTAGGCTGCGGTTGGCCTCCAAAGAAGGGGGACCCATTGGGGCCCCCCTGGGGGCCCCCCATGGGTATTATGTCTTGCTGCTGCTCTGATGAGTCTGAAGAAGAACGTGGACGACGCAAAGTAGCAGGGGGCCCCTGATGCTGCCTGCTGCTGTCTTGTGTCTTTGAGGGAGCGGGACCCCCAGGGATGCTTGCAGGGGGCCCCATAGGGCACTGCCTAGGGGGGCCCCTGCTGCTGCTAGACTGCATGCTGTACTGCTCCTCCCAACTGCTGCTAAATGCAAGACCCTCGTCAGCCTGGGGGACACCCACACCACGCTGCTCCATTAGCAACTGCTGCTGCTGCTGCTGCTGCTCGTTGGCTAGATGGGCAGCAGCAAAGGGTTGACCTCTGTGCGAGGGCCTACCCCCCGAGCGTTGCTGCTGCTGGCTGCAGCCGACCCTCGCTGCATCTGCAGCAGCAGACAGCTCGTTATCTTCTGCTATATTTGCAGCTTCTCTCTTTTCGCTGTATTTTCTGCTGTATTGCTGCTGCTGTGTCGGCCCCACCTGTTGCTGCTGCTGCAGCCGCTGCTGCTGCTGCTGCTGCAGTTCCTGTGGGTCAGCATTAGGGTTTTGTACATCCAAAGAAACAGAAGAAACAAACAAAGATGTGCTGCATGCAGAACTCTGTTGGCCCCCATCTATTGACGAGGGGGAATTATGTTGCTCCTGCGGATGTGTACTCCCTGCCGCTGCTGCTGCTGCTGTTGTTGTTGCTTGCAAGCCAGGAGGAGCAGCAGCAGCTGCAGCACGTGCTGCTGCTACTGCGGCTGCAGCCGCTGCAGCAGCACCCCGATCTTGTTCTACCTCTATAGAAACTTCACTTCCTTCAACACCAGCTTGGGGGGCCCCCATATCTTTAGGGCCCCCCTGGGGCCCCCCAGCGCCATCAGAGGGTACAGAGCAGCAAACTTCAGCAGGGCGGGGACTCTCCGAGGCCCTAATGGATTCAGCAACAGACACCTGAAAGGAGGAGAGAGGAGACACCACAGAGCTGCTGCAGGGTCCTCCAACCCTTTGCTGCAGTTGCTGCAGTTGCTGCTGCTGCTGCGCTCGAGACACTGCTGCAGCTGCTGCAGCTAAAACGCCAGCTGTTGCTGCTGCTGCTGTTGCTGCTGTTGCTACTGCTGCTGCTGCTGCTAACGCTTCTAACGAGGGAGCATCAACCCCTCCAGGAGCTGAGGGATTGACAGGATGGCCCTCCCCTGCTGCTGCTGTTGCTGCTGCTGCTCCAGTTGCTGCTCTAGAGGATGGTGTGTTGGAGGTCTGCAAGACGAACAACAAACAATCACGTCAACAGTCGAGGGTTTAGGGTTTAGGGTTTGCCGCTGCCGCTGCCCTCTTGTAGTACTGAAGCAATAGCCCCTATTAGTAGACAGCTAGCTGGCAAGGTAGCAGCTAGCTAGCTAGCTAGCTAGCTACCCAGGGCAGGATTGTACTTACGGGCGCAGTGTATTGAAGGAGACAATTTCCTGCAAGACTGCTGCTGTTGTCTTTGTTTGTCTCTGCAGGCCGAGAGGTGGAGGCAGGGGGAGCACTATTAAAGAAGGGGACACCTGTATCTTGCTGCAGTTGCTGCTGCTGCTGCTGCTGCTGCTGCTGTTCCAGTTGCTGCAGTTGTTGCAGCTGCTGCAAATGATGCAGCTGCTGCAGCTGCTGCTGCAGATGCGAAGGCTGTCGAGGGGAGTCTAGATACCCTAAGGAGTTGTCATGAGGCCCGTCGCCAGCTAGCATACACAGACGGTCAAGCGGCTGCTGTTGCTGCTGTTGCTGCTGTTGACGTTGCTGCAGTTGTTGTTGCTGCTGTTGCTGCAGTTGTTGCTGCTGTTGGTGTATCCATTGCTGCTGCTCCTGCTGCTGTGTCTGTTGGAAGGCTTGTGCCTGCATTTCCCTTTGTGTAGTTTTTGCTGCTATTCTTTGTGGCTGTGTTGCTGCTGCTGTTGCTGCTGTTGCTGCTGTTGCTGCTGCTTGTTGCAATTGTGCCTCTGCTGATTTCTGCTTAACATATTCGCCATCCTCGAACCTCAACACACGCCGTGTTGCTAGTTGTGTACCTTCTGCTGCTGCTGCTGCTGCTGCTGCTGCTGCTGCTGCTGCAGTACCTGCTGCAGCTACCTCTAAACCACCGCCCTGCTGCTCCTTAGCCCTATCATTAGCATTCCCCCCATCACCAGGACTAGGACCATCACCAGTAGCCCCATCAGCAGCAGGAGAAGGATAAGCAGCAAGATCATCCTCCGCAGCATCCGTAGCAGCAGCAGCAGCAGAAGCAGGAGCAGAAGCAGGAGGAGGAAGTGGCCTCTTAATCTTATAGAACCATGGATGTGTTAATGCTTGTACAGCAGCACATCTCCTATTTTGCTGCTTATTGCACATCCAAGAAATTAAATCTTTTGCGCTATGACTTATTGATGACCAAATTGATTGAGAAAAATTCAATTGGCACCTATTCAAGAAAAAAGAGGAAAAAAAAAAAAAATAATTTATTTATTTATTTATTTATTATATTATATTATATTTTATTTTATTTTATTTTATTTATTTTATTTATTATTTATTGTTTTTATTATTCATTAACAGGAAAGTTATTCAACATCGTTGTATGGTCGGTGCAATGTATCCAATGACCACATAAGAACACCAGCAGCAGCTACAGCAGCAACAGCAGCAACAGCAGCAGCAACAGCAGCAACACAAGCAGCAGCAGCAGTATCAGCAGCAGCAGCAGCTACTAGTGTTTAATGGTGTTGTCTTATTCCTTTTATTCTTCGTAATACTCTTTGTTGCTGTAACAAGAGATAATAACAATATTATTGTTTATTATTTATTATTAATAATTATTAATTATTTATTATTATTTATTATTTATTATTTATTATTATTATTTATTATTATACCCTAATCCCTAACCGATCCTCTAGCAGGTACAAGACAGAAGCCTAAGGTTTAGGGTTTAGGGTTTAGGGTTTAGGGTTTGTGTGTTATATTGACATTTAAACACTGTACCTCAGACCTATCCTACTATAATATATATGTTTATGGTTTACGGTTTACGGTTTAGGGTTTAGGGTTTAGGGTTTAGGGTTTAGGGTTTAGGGTTTAGGGTTTAGGGTTTAGGGTTTAGAGTTTTAATTATATTACCTAAGATTTCTTTTGAGTATTTCTTTAACATTTTGTCCCCTAAATGGAGGAAAGCCACCTAATAAAGTAAATAATATTACCCCTGAGCTAAATACATCTACCTTAGGTCCATAAGGTAAATCTTGTAATATCTCTGGGGCTGCAAATACACAAAAAAAAAAAAAAAAAAAAAAAAAAA